GGAATCGTCCAAGCTGACAACATTCAACACTATATTTGGACGTTACAGATTTCGGCGTCTTCCATTTGGCATCATTTCAGCTCAGGATGAATTTCAACGCAAAATCGATGAGACATACGAAGGTCTAAATGGGGTTGTCGCGATCGTCGATGATATTCTGGTTTACGGACAAACCAAAAAGGAGCATGATGACAACTTGCACGCGATGTTGCAAAGGTCTCGTGAGAAAGGCATGAAACTCAACCCTGAGAAAAGCATTGTGAGTGCCACTGAAGTTCGCTACTTTGGTCACTGCTTATCCGCTGAAGGAATCAAGCCAGACCCTGAAAAGGTCTCAGAGATCAAAAACATGGAGCCCCCAAAGAGCAAAGCCGAGCTTGAAACAGTCCTGGGAATGGTAAATTATCTGTCCAAGTTTGCACCCTGCTTATCAGACATTAATGCACCACTTTGTCAGCTGCTCAAACAGTCCAGCGAGTTCATATGGGATTCCCAGCACGATGATGCATTCCAAAAAATGAAAGACCTCATAACTAAGGAACCTGGACCGGTACTTGTGTACTATGTCCCCCAGAAAGAACTGCACCTTCAAGTGGATGCATCAAAATATGGCCTCGGGGCAGTCTTGCTTCAGGACGGAAAGCCGCTCAGCTATGCCTCAAGGTCACTGACTGAATGTGAAGTTAGCTACACTCAAATAGAGAAGGAGCTCTATGCGGTCTTATTCGGCTGCAAGCGCTTTGTGCATGTGTATGGCCGTGAAGTCATTGTGGAGTCTGATCACAAGCCGCTTGAATCAGTGATGAAAAAACCTCTAGCCGCAGCTCCGCTGAATATGACATCCAGAAATATGACATCACCATCACACACCGGCCAGGAAAGGAGATTCCAGTGGCGGACACCCTCTCAAGAAAGTCCATAGAGACAGAGCACGAAAATCTCAGCGAAGGAATGGACCTAACAAAATATATATTGTGTGTTTGAGTGGTCCAGACGCTACAAAGTTTTGAGCAATTTGTGACCGAACTAAGACTATTAGTCAAAGACTGTGCTTATGCAGACAGCGAGGAAATGGTTAAGAGATCGCATTGTGTTTGGCATTCACTCTCCGCAAGTGCGGGAGAAGCTGTTGAGCGTCGGCTCTGAGTTAACGCTAGACAAGGCCATGGATATAGCCAGGTCACACGAAGTTGCACATGCTCAGCTGAAAACGTTTGCAAACAGCACATACAACCCCCGTGATCAAGCAGTGCACGCTGTCACTACCCAGGAAGAGTCGCAGAAGCGAGCAGGGAAGGCTGGAATGAAAGCTTCACATCGGAGCAGCAATGACGTCGCGGAGCACGGCAGAAGTTGCGGTTACTGTGGCAACCAGGCTCATGGTCCGTTTGAAAAATGCCCTGCTAAAGGCAAACAGTGTGGTAAATGCGGAAAACACAATCACTTTGCGAAAGTATGTCATTCCACTGCACACATTTAATAGACTGAAAACTCAGTGCAAGCTCACACTAACTAGGCACAGTCTCACTGGATATGGTGGTCAAATGCTCACAGTAAAACAGACAGCCAGCTCGTCCAGCTCAGACAGGTGATTCTGGATGGATGGCCTGGAGAGAGGAAGAAATGCCCCGCAGACATCAGTGATTTTTGGAACTTCTGAGACGAACTCTCATTGACCAACGGAATCATTCTCAAAGGTGAGAAAATAGTCATACCCACTTCACTCAGAAAAGATATGCTCACACGCATTCACGTCGGTCACATGTGCATAGAGAAGTCGAAGCAAAGAGCACGAGATGTGTTATTCTGGCCAGGAATGAGTAAACAAATAGAACGCATGGTCGAAAGATGCGATACTTGCCTGGAGCAACGTCGTTCAAACCCATGATTCCTCACGAAATACCAACCAGACCATGGCAGGTGATAGCTTCAGACCTCTTTTCCTGGAACCATGAAGAATACATGGTTACAGTAGACTACTATAGCTGTTTCTTTGAATTGGACAAACTCAGCACCACCACGGCTGCCGCTGTCATCAGCAAATTCAAAGTCATTTTCACGAGACATGGCATCCCAGAGAAATTTGTCTCCGACAATGGTCCACAATATCGAGGCAAGGAGTTTGAAGACTTTGCAAAGACATGAGGCTTTGCACACACCACCTCTAGCCCCCATTACCCACAGAGCAATGGTTTGGCTGAGAAGACTGTGCAGATCGCAAAATTGATCTTGACAAAAGCCAAGATGGACAGGAAAGATCCCTATCTCAGCCTGTTAGAGTATAGGAATACACCTGTTGACAACTTCAAGTCGCCTGCACAGCTCCTCATGAGTCGCAGATTGCAATCCATACTGCCAACCACTAACAAGCAGCTCCTACCTGAAATTGTCAGTTTCACAGAGGCACACTCCAAAAGGGTAAAGCAGCAGCATCAGAAAAAGTATTATGATCGCTCAGCTCGTCCATTGTCACAGCTTCACACCGGACAATCTGTTCGCATACAAGAGCACAGCCTCTGGAAGCCCGCTGTTGTTGTTCATCCTGCCAATACAGAAAGATCCTATCATGTTCACACTTCAGATGGTCAGGTATATCGCAGAAACCGGCGTCACCTTCTCATCACAAAAGAGGAGCCCGTGGAGCCCTGCATTTCTGCAAACATTAAGGAGAAAGAACAAAACATCAATGCCTCGTCCATGCTTCAGGTGCCTGCTGAAGTACCAGCACAGCATTCAAAAGACAGACAGATCCAGCCCATACAATACCATACCAGGTCAGGTCGAGCAGTGCGACCAAGAGCAATTTTTGATTTGTGATTTGTAATTCGTCTGGGGTGTAGGCGGATCGCTGCCCCTATGAGAGAATGGAATCTAAAATCTGGTATGGGCTGTCTGAGAAGAATGGACACTTCTTTCCCACATTTTGCTGTATAGTGTGCTACATGTGCAATAAGTGTCATATGTGTTTAAATGTTTTGAAATGCAGCATCCTCTGTGTTTATGCTAGAGTAATGTTTCAGTGGTTCAAGTATCAGTAAAGATAATTAATATTTTGCTGAGTGTGTTTTTGTGCTGAGACTGGCTCCAAAAGGGAGGCAATCCCATAGACCCCCCAATGTTAAGATGCCCAACTTTACAGCAGAAAAAAATATGTTTACAGCCTGGTACAAAAAGTGGTTTTGGTCTATATAGCTAATTTTGCCCTTCATGACAACTGTGAGGGGGGTGAATTTTTTTTATTACTCATCCGTTTAAATTATATTAAGCCTTAAAGTTCTGCATAATTAAGGGCGTGGCCACTTGAGTGACAGGTGGATTGCCGCTGCTGTCACCACCATCGAGCTAGGTGGGCGTGGTTTCAACAACCTGCTCCCGCCTCTTTGCCCATCTTCGATTATCCGGGAGTGACGAGCGGTGACGCACTGCCAAGATGGCGACGGCCGCCTCCGCCCACTTTTGAGCTTCAAAAACTATCTTCGGAACCCTACGGGTGACGTCACGGACACTACATCCATGTTTTTATACAGTCTATGGGTTTTACAGAGTGGATGCTATTTGTCAAGGGAGATGCCATCCCCCCCTCAATTCGAGCCCTGTATATAACTGTGATGTTCTACAAAACAACAAGCTTTAAAACACTTTTTTCCTTACTGCTGAAAATGAGATAATTTACTGTGAAATCCGTTTTGTCTCAGGTACATCACCAGTGCAAGCTTCATGGTGAAAACGTCTACATCACTCTTGTCAACGACGTAGTTACAACAAATGTATCTTGATTTTATCTAATTGTTATTTTCGGAAAAACAGTAGGGGGGCATTTTCCCCCACTCAACCCTAAATCCATATTTCTACAATACAAGCTCTGTAATGATGAACAAAAGACATTTATTCTGTTTTGTTTTATGTCTGAGTGACCATTATTTTAACACATAGGCTATTAGTTTTTGTCCCGTGGTATTCACACTCCACGTGTCCAAGCAGTGTTTGAACTTATCGACAGCTTACTACAACTACTATATTTGAATGAACTTAAGAGAGTGGCTTATTCCAGGGTTTCAAACTGAACTCTTGAACTATGCGCACTCGTCTTTTTCCTTACGCCTTAAGAGATAAGAGGAAAGTTGCACACTTGGAAAACGCCCGGCTTATCATGCAGCTACCGGATTCGCACAATTGTGCGCATGTGCGTGGGAGTCCTGAAGTAACAGAAATGTGTGGAAAAACAGACGACGTCGCAAGTATACACAGGTAACGTTCTAACCACTTTTTTTTTAAAGTTGTCATTTCATTTTGTTTATTTGAGATTCCAGTGCCAAAATGTGATGCTCCGCTCTGTCTATCTTTTTTTTTTCTCCGTTGAGGTGAATCACAAAACAAAAAACAAATTGTCTCCAGTCCTTATATATATATATATATATATATATATATACATGCATACTAAACCACATTGACAAATTTTGTTTAAAAATTTATAAAATGCAAAGTGTATGTCGGCGTATATAAAAGTTATAGTAAATGCGATGCCGGAGACCAGCAATGGATTAGCCTAATAAAATGTGAAATATGAAAACCAATGTCTTCTAGAGAAACTCATTCTTTCCCACAAGAACATACAATTTTGATATAGGCTATCACTGAATGAGGTAATCGTCACTATAATACTGTGTCTGACATATGAAATGAGGATTGCAAACTTGCAGCCAGAATTAAGTTAAAATGGATTTCATCTGCGCGCCATTTTGCAGTTGCATAATGTAATTTTAATCAACGTTTTATATTATTTTTATTTGCTAATGCAGGAATTAAGCTACTTAGTGGGAAACAATGAATATTCTGAGAATATCTTTATAGCCTGGATTTTGGTTAAGGGGAGAGTGAGTCTTAAGGTATGGTGCTTGAAATTATTATTTTTTTTTAATGCCTCTTACATTTTGCTGCTCTTGATAATCACTATAAAATGCAAGTCCAAAGTGCATGCCAAGGCACCCTCTCAAAACCTGTATTATTTTGTCCTCATGAATACTACATTCAAGTTAATTTACAAAAATGTAATAAATACTTGTGTATGCCTCATTAGCCTTATGCAGCTGTGAAGACTAAATGATTTATGGAGAACACACAAACATTCAACAACAGAGATTTTCCTTCAGGATGCAGGTACATCAGTGTCTTCATATGATCTTTCACCGTATGCCTTTTAACAGTGTAGGTGGATCTTTGCCATGGTTGTTTTTGGTGATTTAAGTTGGTGATATAGATAGATATAGATTTCTATCTATATCATATAGATAGACATACAGATATAGGGTTCCCATACATCCTTGAAAACCTGGAAAGCTTATACGAACTGGTGCTGCCAAACACACCATTTCACTCTCAGCTTGGTTGTCAGATAGATAGATTCCCTATATGAAGTTTATCTACATCTGAATTCTTGAATTCTGAATCTATTACTAGTGTCTATATTCTATTGTACTCTAATACAGATATAGGGTTCCCATACATCCTTAAAAACCTGTAAAGCATATACGAACTGGTGCTGCCAAACACGCCATTCCACTCTCAGCTTGGTTGTCTTGGTTGCCAGATAGATAGATTCCTTATATCAGGGGTGGCGAACGTCAGTCCTGGAGAGCCGCATTGCTTCAACCCCAATCAAACACACCTGAACAAGCTAATCAAGGTCTGAACGGTTACTAGGGAGCTACAGGCAGGTGAGTTTTAATTAGGGTTGGAGCTGAACTCTGCAGGGCTGCGGCTCTCCAGGACCGGAGTTCGCCACCCCTGCCCTATATGAAGTTTATCTACATCTGAATTCTTGATTTCTGAATGTAGTACTAGTGTCTCTATTCTATTGTACTCTAAGTATGTTGCACAGAGAGAGATCAACCCCATCAGAGTTCAGCTGTGTGTCCATGAAGAGTGACCAGTCTATGGGCAAGCCAATAAAATTTAAGGGAAGACAAACATCGACTGATCTAAGGTATAATGTTTCAGATAGTCAGACAGAAATACAGAGAGACAGATAAATATAGCATCCTTATGATTCCTTATGTGAAATTAATTTACATGCAAAATCAACAATATGAATTTTGTGTCTTTTTGTACTCTAGTCTTTTGTACAAGGAGAGATCAAACATCTAGCCTAGACAGAGAGACAATTTATCATCTCTGTTTCTAATGTCTCTATTCTATTGTACTCTAAATAAGTCTTTTGCACAGAGGGAGATCAAACCCACCAGAGTCCAGCTGTGTGTCCATGAAGAGCAACCAGTCTATGGGCAAGCCAATACAATTTAAGGAAAGACAAACATCAACTGATCTGAGGTGCTGCATTGTCTAGATACGATAGATAGATAGATAGATTCTGAAAGTAATCTATGTGTAAATTAAATCTGAATTCTTGTATTAGTTACTAATATCTCTATTCTGTACTTCATTCTAAGTCTGAGAGATAGATCAAACCCATTGGAGTCCAGCTGTGTGTCCATGAAGAGCGACCAGCCTATGGGCAAGCCAATAAAATGTAAGGGAAGAGACACATCAACTAATCTGAGGTACAACATTTCTGTCTTAATCGATCGATAGATAGATAGATAAATATATGATAGATAGATAGATCTACCCTCTCTATATCTGATATCTCTATTCTATTATACTGTACTCCATTCTAAGTCTATTCAAGAGGGAGAGTGAAGACAATGATATTGTGAATGCTAACTAATCCAAGGGCTAGGCCTAAATGTTTTGTTTTCTTTTTTTCCAAAAGAACCAAGAGAACCAAACTATAGATGTGAACACACCCTTAAATTGACATTCAAGGCTTTTTAAGTAATAAGCATTAAAGTGCCCCTATTATGCCATCTCCAATATTGCCTTTCATGCAGTGTGTAATGTACCTGTATGTGAATGTAAACAATCTGCAAAATTATAAAGCTGAAAGTGCGAGATAAATACCAAGTTCTGTCATGAAATTCTAGATGGCTCAGGCTGATGGGTCCTTAACGTAACTGATGGTATTCTTAGCATTAAACGACTTGTCACAAGCTGATTGGTTCATGTTGCATACGCAGCCAATGAGCTTGCTGCTTTACAATTAAATGGCTGATTAGCATTCGCTTGAGCATTGCAGCGCACTTTCAGAGTTCCTCTGAAACCCTCCACCTTCCCCTGCTCCACCTGTATAGATCTGCTACCGGTTATTTTATATGCTATTTGTGCAACAGCAGCATGTCTTAAATACTCACAGCACCATATAGGCTTATGTATTGGCAATAGCAAGTTCCTGTACTTGCTTGCAGCAGCAGCAATAATCTACAAATACAGCAATAACCAACAGCAGCAGCAGCAGCTTAACAGATCTATTCTGCCAAGACCAAATACATTAACATTGTCATAACTATTACCATGCTAAAATCTTCAGAGAGTTCTCATGATAGAAATAAAGTTATTGTCTCCCAAAATAAAGAATCAACTCTGTACAGCCTAAACAAGTCGTTAGTAATTCGAATCCCACTTTCGTGACGGCTACACGTCACGGGGTAACACATTTGCATAATTGTTCCCACTTACAGTATGTTCTACATTGGCCGACTACGAACAACTTGACCCCACCCACAAACATGTAATTTTACTGACGACTGCTTCTCTAATCTCGTGGAGTTCAACGCGGGATTCACAAAACTCATGCTCTTGAAAGATAGCTCAGTACCCAGTTTATTTGGACCAGCTGGCTCCATTGAATCACAACCTGTTAGTATGATAAATAATAGATGTTTATATTCTCTATTGAGTGTTCAAAATCTGGAACTATGGCAATGGGCGTATTGTTTCCAACTAGTTCTGTATGCGGTAGACCAATCACAACAGACTGGGCCATCTGACCAATCAGAGCAGAGTAGGCGCATGGAAAGGAGGGGTTTATAGAGACTGAATCTTTGTATTTAACTAATCGTTTGAGAATCTCTGGAAAATTAGGTGATATTATTATTTCGAATACCTTGTTAGTGTCGTGCGCTTGCTTAGCCCTTTGTTGTGATAAACAGTAAAGTGTGTTTAAGCGCTAGCAAAAGACAGTGTAAAGAAATACTCTTTGAGAGAAGCAGTCAATCAGCTGAAGTTAAAATCAGATCGTAAGTGTATTTATTTCTTGTCTCATTAGTGTTTAGCGCGGTTGTCGTTGCTAGGAAATGCTTGTTTTGTTTACTGTTTTGAGACGTGCTGAAGTTGCATTTGGTCTCGTACTGTATCGCGTACCTTGTCAGTGTTGTGCGCTTGCTTAGCCCTTTGTTGTGATAAACAGTAAAGTGTGTTTAAGTGCTAGCAAAATACAGTGTAAAGAAATTCTCTTTGAGAGAAGCAGTCAATCAGCAGAAGTAAAAAGCATATCGTAAGTGTATTTATTTCTTGTCTCATTAGTGTTTAGCACAGTTGTCGTTGCTAGGAAACGCTTGTTTTTGAGAGGTGCTGAAGTTGCATTTGGTCTCGTACTGTATCGCATACCTTGTCAGTGTCGTGCACTTGCTTAGCCCTTTGTTGTGATAAACAGTAAAGTGTGCTCCGCTGAATTCAATTTCCGTTTTGTCAAATGGTTATAAAAAAGATTAGTACACCACGGCAGCCCTCGTGTGAAGACCGAAGAGTGTAAAGACCATTGACTCTACTGTTTGACTCCACAGTGCAGGGACACTGACAAGGGACATAAGTATCACTTTTGACTCAACCTCTTTTTTACACCTTTCTTCAATTCTATTTCTGTTTTTATGACCAACTCTTACTATGTTTCCATATCCCTACTATTACTACCACTCGCAAACCACGCATCACACACTATAGGCAGCGCAATCCTAACAATCTCTGGAATTGTCAGTCTGCAGTAAACAAAGCAGATTTCATTACATTTATTTCATGGCCCTGACAGAGATGTGAATCAAACCAGAGGACACTGCTACTCCTGCAGCACTCTCCAATAATTTCTCATTTTCTCACACTCCCTGTCTAACAGGAAGAGGTGGAGGTACTGGTCTGCTTATCTCTAATGACTGGAAATGTATTCCTTTACGTTCTCTGGGTATTAGCAGCTCCTTTGAATCACATTCAGTCACTATTACCCACCCTTTTAAAATCCATTTTGTAGTTGTTTATCGACCCCCAGGACCACAAGGTAACTTCTTGGATGAATTAGATGTGCTGCTCTCAACCTTTCCTGAGGATGGTACTCCCCTAGTTATGCTTGGAGACTTCAACATCCACCTAGATAAACCTCAGGCTGCAGACTTCCACACGCTTGCCTCTTTTGATCTCAAGAGAGAGTTAACTACGGCTACTCACAAATCAGGCAACCAACTGGACCTTATTTACACACGACACTTTTTTTTTTTTGACTTTTAGTCAAACTGCAGTTACCAACATTAAAGCAAATGGAGCCCCTACCAAGTATTGAGTACATGTGCAGTAAATGAACATACTTTCCAGAAGGCTAAAAATGTTTTTTTTATTGGTCTTAATAAGTATTCTAATTTGTTGAGATAGTTAATTGGTGGGTTTTTGTTAAATGTGAGCCAAAATCATCACAATTAAAAGAACCAAAGACTTAAACTACTTCAGTCTGTGTGCATTGAATTTATTTAATACACGAGTTTCACAATTTGAGTTGAATTACTGAAATAAATGAACTTTTCCACGACATTCTAATTTATTGAGATGCACCTGTAGTTGTTCATTAGGGCTGGGTATCGTTCCAAAATTGTTGATACCGATACCTTGAATTCGATACCGGTTCCTGAACGATACTTTTTTCTATACAGATTTTAAGAAATCTGTTTTAACAAGATTACATTACACATTATCTCAGAGAAACTTTGGTTTTATTTTTTCAGGGTGTTGACACTTTTTACAGGCTTATCTCCTGAGCCACTACACAAAGAAACAAAAAAGCACAATGTTGACACTTTTTACAGGGTTATCTACTGAGCCACTACACAAAGAAACAAAAAAGCACAAAGGAACAAAATGTAATCAACACAATATATCAGTGCAAATAGTTTTAATCACAGTTTTAATAAAGTTCAAGCAGTTTTAAGTCAGTATATGTGAGGCTCACTGCTGCTTAAGATCTTTGAATCACTCAGCAGTTCTTCTTCAGAAAAATTAGCATGTCTGCTTTTTCAGGAGACGGACAAGTCCGCTCCTGACTGATAATGTCCCCAGCCATAGAAGATGTACGCTCTGTGGGTGTGGATGATGCTTGAACACAGAGATACCTTGTTGCCAAATCTGAAAGCATTGGCAGAGTGTCCTTCATGTCCCACCACCAGGTTACTGGACTCACTGTGGACAGTGTGGATGGAAGCAGTCTGTACTGATTTATCTCTGTCTGAATCTTCTCTGTAAGGCTGCTGACAGTGGTCTGTGTTCTTGCTTCAATTGCCATGTCCTCCACAGCAAACAGCTCCTCAAGGGCAGAGAGCTTTTGCTTCTTCTATGAACAAATAAGTAAAGAAATAAAGAAAAATATAAAACACTATAAAGGTAAATGCAAACAAGTTAATTTTCTTCTGAAAATTAAATAGGATGTCTTTATATTTTCTTACCAGTGTTGTTGCTGCAGATGCACTGTCTTCGTCAGTTGAGCTGTCATCTTGGTCACCT